GGAGAAGGATCTGGAGTCATGTGGGTTTGAAATTGTGGTTCCTGAATACAGTGATGCTTCTGATGGTAGTAATGATGATGATGTGCCTCAGTTAATCACCATTGTAATCAATGGTGATTGTGCATCGAGGGCATTGAAAGCAGCTGAGGATGTGCATGATGACAAGAATGAGTCTGATGATGAAAGCTTGAAGAAGAGTAAGAGGGCGAGAAAAGGGACAGACGAAAGCCATAAGAAGCTAAAAGGGTCAGACACAAGCAGTAAGAAGTCTAAGGAGAAGAAGAAGAAGGATAAGGAACAAAATTTGGTTTCTGTAATTGGATCTATTGTCGAGGAAAATGACAATGTAGTTACCGCTAATGGTGTGGGAAACGGGGATCTGATGTCTGCTGATGGAAAGAGTTTGAATGATGAATTGGAGAGCGGTAGGAATGATTTGACTTTGAATGAGTCTGTGATATCAAATCTTCAGAAGCAATTTGAGAAGGTTGCAGCTGAAGCTGGGTCATATAGAGATGATGATACAGATTCATGTGATACACCAAAAATTACAGTCAATAGAATATCACAAAAGAAGAGGAAGGTTGCTAAGACTGCAGATGGGCACGACACTGACAACTTAGACATGAGTGGTCAAGGAGATGACAGACTCGATAATGCTGCAAAGAGCGTCGAGAAAAGTGCAAAGAAGGTTAGGTTTGCAATGAAAAATAACTTGGTCTGGAAGCCACACAGTCCATTGCCTTCTGAAAGTTTGAGACTACCACCATCCGTTACTCCTAGAGGTAGTGCTCTGAAGAAGGGGGTGCCTCCGGGTCCCATAAGGGAGATGCCTCCTCCCAAGAAAAAGAAAAAGAAGCTGAAGACAGGGCGGAAGATGTTGAAGAGTGCATCACCTGCCCAGAAACAAAAGAATCAGATACAAACTGGGTCTATTTGATGGTAATTCAGGTTGGATGCTCATTTTCTTGCGGACTAATATACTTTATTGTTGATTTAATCCTTCTTGTGACTGGGGAATCTTAAGGTTTCCACGCTTTGCCTTGAAAATTTATCTTGAATGCGTATTATAAAGCTCCTTCACTTGGAAAATATAATATTTGTGTGTTAGTGTCAATACTTTAGCTCATAGATTAATTTTCAGGAATTCTTTTGCTGATATTTTTTGTCAGTTCTTTATGATTCTCAATTGGAGTATGTCCTGATTAGTGAGTAATCACATGTCATGTCATGTTACAACAACAATCAGATTCTTTTGCTGATGCTAAATTTAAATTTTTTGTGTCGTGAAGATAGAAAATTTTCATGGGAGCACATTTGCACCATGAGTGCAGAGATTCACAAAGACTCTATAATACTTAATACATTTCAGTTTCTCATTTTATTGTGTTCTCTATTTCTTTGCCACTAATTATTTGAAGTTTCCAATATTGATGTGAAATGCATTCTTTTTTTAATTTTTTTTCTTAGTCAGTTTGTTATTGTTTTCTAATTGGCGTGTTTGCTCTTCTATAAACTCAGCAACTGCAGCAATTTCTTGTCTCAGTTTAACCTGTTGATTATGATTATTTACTTCAGGAGGAGCATAAATTAATATGATAAATTAGCCAGTGCTTGCATCAATTGATTTCTATTGTCAAGTACACCTATGATATAAGTCAATACATAAAATTAGTCCTCTGGAAGCTGGTCTATTATATATTCTTCGATTTTTTCAGCTGAGTGAAGTAGTACTAGGGAGTATAGTCACCACGCCTAACACTAAATAGATGCTAGAGGAGTGACATTTCACCCTCCAATTACCTTAGAAAACTAATTAAAATGTAAAAGAAAAGGGCTTTGCTGGGAATGAAGAGTATACAATGAGAAATAGGAGCAAAGAATGTTTGAAAAATAATTAAATTTAATGCTTTATGGTACCACGTGTTGGGCAATTATAGGACGAAATGTCTATAAGATGAATTTAGCAAAAATGAAGATATTAATATAAATGTGTGACATTACTACAATGGATTAAATAACAGTGATAATATACGCTAACAGGAGGTGAAATCAATTGAGGATAAATTAAGGAGCTATTTAGCACGGACACTCTAACTAGGGTAGCGTGTCCGTGTCCGACACGTGTTGGATACGTGTCGATACCGACACTCTTTGGACACTCTACAATAATCATTTTTCTTTCTTACTATAACTATTATTTATTTTTAACTCAAAGTTTTTAATAAATAACAAATAAGTACTCATATTTAAAAGATTTCAACAAAAAAGAATCAATAATAAATATAAGAATTTTAAAAATTTAATGAACGTGTCGACGACTTGCCGTGTCAGTACTTTTTTGAAAAACCACGAGTCGACATATCCGACACGTATCGTGTCGGACACACGTGTCCGTGTTGGTGCATCATAGTTAAGGAGAGAACTAGGTGGTCGAGGGAATTGACTTCATTGCATCTTTAGGTAGATGTAGCAATAGATTGAATGTAGTGTTGAAAAATCATTCAGGAGTGATAATTTCCTTGATTCAGTGGTATTGTTTATTTCCACTAGGAGTAACATTTGGATGCATTCTGATGTCTAGTTAGTGGAAGCAAGAGCATCTCCAAGAAACTCATTAAATTTAAAGAGCAACTTGGTGCATAATAGACCGCATCTCTAAATTCAAAGAGACAATTTTTTGACACACTCCAACAAACTCTCTATTTTAGGTCATCATTTTAAGTGACTTTTATTGATTTTCCTTCTTTTTTTATTTATATATATTCTTAGATGTCAATGTCTAATAAAATCAAATATGGTTTGAATAATCCAAGGAGTGGAACAATGTTATTTGTAACTTATTAAAATATAGATTCAATTGGAGCTTAATTTCAAGGATTGAAACTCTAAAATAAAGAACATCTTACATTAAAGAATGTCTTGGAGATGATGCTTTAAAAAGGCAAAGTTAAGTTTTACTTCAAAACCTGAAATGCTTATTTTGTGATAGAATAGTTATCAAAGTTTATGGCGGTCGTTTTTTTTTTTTTTTCCATTCATACTAGGTTCTTTTTATTGTTTGCATGACTAGATGGCAGCCTAGGAAATTCAAATTTCTATGTTGAATTTTTTCAGTTCAGATGATAAGTTGAAGATAACTGGAGAATTTAAGATAGAACACAGCATGTTGGACTCACCTACGCCGTGCTCTCCCCAGTCTGTCCTTGGAGGTTTCTCGTTAACGTGCAATGTCGATCAGCGCAGCAGTATCCGAGCTTTATGAACTAATTAGAGAAGAAAGATGACAAACTGACCATTTCCATTTTTCGTTTGTTGTGCTTGGGAGACCAATTGTATCATATACTTTATTCTTCTCTCTCTCTCTCTCTACCCACATGTTGTCTCAATTAATCCAAAATTTCTTTGAGCATACTTCTTTATAGTCACTTCTGAGGCTGCACAAGGGAATGTTACAAACTTTTGAAGCTACTTTTTATTTAATAGATATTTATGGGGAGCATTTCTCTTACACATAGATTTGACAAGTATTTTTGATAAATAATTATGACCTTTAATTTAAGCAAATCTAATGGTTAGTATCTATTTCACTAGGATCAAGGGAGAGATAGTTATAATCACTTGAGATTTATGAGATACTAACCATTGGATTTGTTTAAATTATAAGTCATGATTATTTGTCAAATCATTTGTAGAAGGAGCGCTTCCCATTCTTCAATATTCCTATACTTTGTCCTCTAAATATACAGCGAAACAAGGATAAGCAGCTACTAATTAGCACGAAATGATTTTCGAACAATATTATACATGCATACAAAAACCATAAAGGCCACTCTCTCAACAACTAAAGCTCTGAAAATCAACAAATTTCTAGTATCATTTGAAGATGATTTCCTTGTTTGATTCAAGATCGAGTCTCACTTTCTTGAATTGAATTACAAAGATTAAAAATCAGCTTTCTAACTGCATGCCTTTTGTAATATAGGGATAGAAACTCAAGTATCCCGAAGAGTTCATTAAGCCCTATTTGGTAGAGAATTCTCTAGAATAGATTTTTTTCAAAAGTGATTTTTGGAGAAAGTGCAGTTAAAAGTTACGAATAAGTTTATATTACTTGAGAATAAATTTTGGATAATGTGTTTTTCTTAATCAAGTTCTTTTATTTGTTCAAATAAAAGTAAGATTAATTAGATCAAAATTAATGTCGCAATCCTCATGAAAACAATGTTTTATCATTAACATTGTATTACTTGTTGCTATTCGTAAATTTATGATTTTTGACAAAAAATAAGCTTACACATGGACAACTTTTAGGCATGGTACTCTACATATATAAGACTACAAAGTTAACTATCAAATTACTAA